TATAATAGTTTTACATTACAATAACTATAACAAGTGATACGATAAACAATTATTGCTGAAATATATATTTAATAATTATATATAATCAACTTAAGACAAAAATATTTTGTTAAATAAAAATTATTAATTAACAATACGTATATTTTAATATATAAATGTTTTGTTAATGTTTTAATAATTAAATAAATTAAACTAAAAGTACTCGAGATTTAAATCTAATAAAACTATAATAATTAAGATGACCTCAAGGTCTACAGAGAAATTTTATATCATTTTTAATTAGTTAAATGTTATTTTAAACATTTAATCTAGGTCTGAATCATCAATGAGACCATATTTAGAGCGAAAATAGTTTATGAAAAACTGACATTCGTTTGATTCAATTGTATTTAAATGTTTCAAATCTTTTGCCAAATATTTGCTATCAATAGCCCACTCGTGGTATGTCTTCAACACATCCTTACACTCGGGTCTGTCCTCCCAATTGGGGGACAAAGACATGGAAACCAATACTTCCCGTAATTTAATGACACATTTGTTGAACACTTCATTGTCTGGTGAATACGTTTGCGGACTATATTTAAAGCAAATATTTTTCAATATTATTAATTTACTATTTCTAGTAATTTCTTAAAAGAAACTTACGTAATATCATTGATATTAAAATCAAATAGTTTTTCACCGATTTTGGAGAGACTATAGATGTCTACCCTGTGGTCAAACCTACCACTTGTAACTTCTGGCGCCTGATATATAGGAGCACCACTTTGTTGACCAGTCATAGTATAGAAGTCCCGGTCGTGTACTGTCGACAAACCAAAGTCACATAATTTAAAATACCGACTGTTCTTGACTTCTTGTGCCACCAAAATATTGTCGGGTTTGAGATCCCTATGAATTATCGGTGGATCCAATTCATGCAAATACTGGACGCACTCTAAGATCTCTTTGAATATATGACACGAAATGTAAAACTCGGTTGAATTCATGGGTTCTTCAGGTTTTCGGTGAAATACTTGTGGTTTAAGTCTAAGAATATTCTGAAGACTGTCGGAACATAACTCCATTCTTATGTAAAAGTTTGTGCTGTCGAACCACCAGGCCATACATTGCACCACATATTGTGAGTTGACTTTCTGTAGGTTGTCCACTTCTGTACTCAATTTCTTGATTGTCTTGATTACCATATTTGATTTTGACTCATCCTTTTCGACTGAAAACAATATTAGTTTAATAATTAGTTTCATGGAAAGTACTGTATATACTAGTAAACTGTATATACATTACAATTTAAATTAATCATTTTTATGGCATATTCTTGTTTATTCCACTTATTCCTCGCTTTCCACACCTCTCCAAATGATCCCTTTCCTATATTTTCAACCATTTCATAATAATCCTCATTCTCTCGTCCTTCCTTTGACTCATTTCCCTCTTTTAATTAAATTTAAAAATTTATTTTTAATGTTAACTTTATATATAATTTATATTTCTTACAGATTATATTTATTAAATAGATCACAATCAAAAACATTGAAAGTATTCAACTCAGACCAAGAATTGTTATTAAGCTGTCGATGTTTTATAATGGTGATCATTTGTAAGATATGAATATAAGTTAAAATTAATTTATTCATACCATCGACATGTTGCTTAATTCTGTCTAACATTTTCCCCAAATATTCCGTGCATTTTGTACCAAATTGTTCACTTGTATCGCAATTATATTCCTTATAATCGCTTAAATGAATGGTTTTATGAGTCAATTGGTGTTCGTCTGTATAGTAATCAAAGAAATTCTCGTAATTTGTTTCAATCATTTGCGGCGCTTTCAATAATTCTTGAATTTTTCCATCAATTAGAGCCGTTATAATAGATTTATCAATAAACACAAAACCACTCTTTCTGTAGCTATAGATTTGATGCATTTCTTCACATTTCTTATCGCTATTCAATACTTTGGGTGTCTTTTGTATGAACTCATCTCCGCTTTCATTCACATATTGTCCGCAAAAATATATGAATCCATTGTTTGATAGGAAATATGTGTTAACATTTCTGCGTGTTTAGCAAAATTATAGTGACTATAAGAGTTGTTTAACACCAAAGTTATGTAAAGGGCTGTTTAACAAAGGGTTAAATATCGTTAGTAAAAATGGGGTTGATTTGTGTACAGGTAGACAACTGATGGCATAAGAGGACTCATATCTGCAAAAAATACTATTAATTCTGTATTTAATAGAATTGTGAGTGAATTGCAGTTTTCTGGGCTCTAATATAATAGATGTGGAGTCACCACAACCTAACTGTCCCTCTCTATTATCACCCCATCCATAGACATCGCCATCACTAGTGAGGGCCAGTATGTGAAAAGAGCCGCACGTCATTTGACAAATTTTCTCATGATTTTGAAAAAATTCATTATTTTCTCGGTCTATGAATCCCATTAAATCCAAATTAAATAGATTC